GAGAGAGAGAGAGAGGAATACAGGAAAGATTATTGCAATCTTTTCCGCTTTCAATCCTTTACATTTTTTTCTCACAACGTTAACGATAATAGCAACCAACATTAAATTCTATTATCCAGGAAACGTGAAGTGTATTGTTAGAAAAATATATGTTGTCTTTCTTCTTATCTTTTGATGAAATCATTTTTTCAAATATTCGTACGTATAAATGGCAAGAAATTTTATCATTAAAATAATCTGTTATTTTATGAGACTAAACATACATTTATCTATAAAATTAAATGGATTTTATGAGATGTTTATAAACAATATAATGTTTAGTAAATGCGTATAGAAAACGTATTGAAAGAAATGAGATTTCACACAAGTAATCTTTAGTACGACTGGAAATTATTACTTTCAGAGAAATACTCGATAATCGATCCAGTCAAATAATTAAGTGATTAACTGTTTATTGGCTATATCGAATACATCTATGGTTAAATCGGCTATGGCTGTATCGTAGATACGAGGATTCTGGGACTGGTCCGCAATATCCGTCGCGGTAAAATCGAGGATAATAACTTAGGAAACGAATTACGGCCAGGCATCGTCGTCCGTCTCGCAGCCGGTATCCATTACACATCGATGTTTCCATTTTAATAGAAATGGACAGAGATCCAAGCGAGAACAAGTAGGAAGGTAAAGAGATGAAAGAGAGAGGCTGATAGCGCGGGACAGGCGTGGAGCACGGTGGGGGCGCGAGGGCCCGGAACGAAAGGGGGAAGGCAAACGCGGCCATGTAATTAGAAATCACGGGGGGATTTACGGGGCATCGGGCAATAAATCCAAAAAGCAACGGCTAATGGCACGCATATTGACGTATCCATCTGGCTATCGTTCATCTTTCTCACGAGTCCCACACCGCGCGCACGCCCCGCGTTCGCGACGCGCGCCTCGCGGCTACTCCGCGCGAGCGGCTCGCTCTCGCTCGCTTCGCCCGCGCCGGGGAAGACGACGAGACGAAAGGATCGACGCCTTCAGAATGAGCTAGCGGGGCTTTCTTCTCGCGGGAGGAGGGAGAGGAGACGTCGCGCCGACTATAAGCACGCTTGATTTACGTTAAAAGCCGAGTCGGGCTCGCCGCGTTGAGTCTTTATCGGGTAGGAGTGAGACGATGATGATGAACGATCGTCGATTTGTAGGAGCGATCGGCGAATGTGCGCGCATATGCGAAACGGGTATATGTGTATATACCGGCCGAGCGAATATCTGCTGATGCTGATCATCTGCAACTCGTGGCCGATATTCCAAGTGCACAAAACGCAGCTTTCAAAAGATCGCTTTGTGCCGGCAGAAAAATGGCAATCACAATCGTCTTTCAGAACAGTTCGTTACGTGTGATATACAATCGTATCAATTGTTGTTTTTTGATAGAATCTTTGTGTTATAATTATAAATTTCCGACATTTATCCCCCATTGGAAACCAAGTTTCAAATAAGATTAATTTAAGATTAATTCAAAAATTTTTCAAACAGGGACTTTTTTATTCGTTCGCAGCTTGAAATTTATTGTAACTAACTTAATTTTTGCTGCTAAATAAATAATATTGAAATACGAATTTTTGTATTAATTGGAAATGTGGGTGAAATATTTTATGCATTGTACCGTATTGTGTTATCGAAATCTAGCCTACTAACGTCACTATTTGTAACAGTAGCTGAGTCGCATTGCGAGGCAGGCTAGGCGGTAATTCTCCAGCGGAGCAGGCAGTCCGGATTAACGTCTTCATTCCAGGAGAAACCCCTCGCATGGTGCGCTGGTAATCGATCGGTTATGGTAATTCAAGCGAGCGTCGAGAGCGCGATCGTTAAAAAAGCTACGCGCCCACCGTTGGTGATTGCGGTACTTGGTGCAGCACCACGCACTAGCGGCGATAAGCGGCCGCGATGCGTGCAGTTCGATTAACGCAACAACGGGTGCGTGAGCGGTCGTTCGTCGTACATGAAAAGGAAGAAACCCACGGGAGAAACCCGCCCACACGCGAGTCTACCTGCGATCGCAGTCGATCGCGGAGGCGATACGCCGATTCGAGAAATCTATTTTGACGGATATTTGTGGAACACTCGACACTTTATCGTTACGTTAGTATTGTAGCAGAATCAATGTTGTTACGGTACTTAAATTATTAAAATGTCACAGATGGAATTTATAATTTATTATACACGGAAAAAATGTTAGTTTTAAATCAGGACAGATATTCCTGTATACAAACAAGAATATTATAAGCTTCATATAAAAGATTTTTAGTTTTGAATTGAGCAAATTTTTTTTGTGTAGTATCTGTGCACGAACTTTGAGAAATGTTCTTTACGCATTTATGAAGTTAATGTATATCACTTTCTATCGTAGAATGATATACGTCAATTTTAAAATATTCTGTTCTGGACACTTCAAAATACTATACCTCGGCTTACCAATCTTTTTTTTTATAGATTTCTTTAAATATATTTTTATTTTATGTTGCGGGCAATAAGAGATTTATTAATAACTAACTTTCACGATTTTCATTTGCAGAACATTATCTTTTGCACATTATTACATTCTCAAACGTAGATCATCTTTAAGAAACGCTTAAAGGCGTCGGCTGTATTTAATGATCAGTAGTATATAGTTGGGTTATGACCCCGACGTCACGATTGTAGTAACACGGGATGAAAACGAACTGTTACTCAGCATTATCTATTACGATCACGGAATTGTTTGTAATGTCACTGCTGGTACATTTTACCCCGTAGCTAAGAGACTTTATTCAAAGATGACCTACTCTCCCGAGGTAGATACAACTAAAAGGATGTCATTTAATAATTTATGCCAGGTGGGGAGATTGCAATCGGCAATCGCTCATCGTGAATCGAATCATGCTCTGTAATCAGCCGCGTTTACCAACGTTTCCTGCATTGAAACAATTCACATTACGCCATCACGCCATATATCTGCAACGTAAACGGAAACAATACACGAAGTAATAACGTGCAAGCAAATCATTTTCTAGAACTTTACAATTTTTCATTTATTCTTATTTATTTTTCATCTGTCTTATTTTTCAATGCCTTATTATATATGATAAACTTCAAAATTACGTCTGCAAATAGCCAGAATTTTAAGACCTTTCTACATAACAAATTGCGATTCAATTTCTACGTTAAATTTTAGATGGGACACATATTAATGAAGATTATTTTAATTGTTTGTTACAGGATATTCGGATGTCATCGGAAGACCGGTTATCGAGTTCGAATACAATGTATCCACGAGGGAAACCTTCTCCGTTAGAGAGACGTCGTCTTTTCTGCTCTACCTCGCTCGTCTGCCCAGGTACGTTCCCGTCGTTTGTTCGCATAATGCATCAACTTCGATGCATGTCGAAGAAAACACGGCCCGTGCACTCGCGGGATGTCGATAAATCAACGGGGATTATCGCGAGATCAGTCGCGCGTGCGGGGCTCGTTGGGCCATGCCATAATTTATGAATTCGATTAGCGGGGCGACGCGGCCGCGATAATTTTTGCGAAGGGCGTTTTTAACTCGCAGAAAATTCACACTTTACAACCGCGGCGCACACTGGCGCGAGAGACCCATTTATTACACTGGCATTTGTACTTCTCAACGAGGCTGTTGTAGTGATAATAACTGAAATCATCCGACTCCGAATTGGCAATTTATTAATCCCGGCCGGGCGAGAGGAAGAGGAGTGCGCGAGCTTTCCGTTAAATAAACGCGATCGACGCCGATGTTGGTAATAATTATAATTTTCCACCGTCATGAAGACGCGGGTACGCCCACTATAATCACCGATGCGGAGCAGAATCGCGGCTTCCCGTTCTTCCCGGCTTGGTCGCGTCTCGTCCTACAAGCTCTCTAACAAAGTTTCCTCCCGTTTGTAAGCTATTTAATTAACACGCTTGCAACGTTATAACGTGGATATAATGTTTTCTAACATCGATGCTATAGCGATTAAACACCGTGAGAAAACCGAATCGGAGCAAATCGACACCGATTCGATCATCATGGAAAATTTTTTGAGCACTATATATTTCATATTTAACATCGTTGTAAATGAATTATCAATTATTAGTCATTAATTAATTGCATTGAAAACTAAATTTATTTAATTATTGAAGATAAAACATATTTATTAAAACATGTTCATTATGCAAGATCTATTTTGTACGATATATTATTTACATAATCGTCTAATTTAATTAAATTTTATTTTGATGCAAAAATTGCAAATGAAACATTAAATAAAGAGATTTTATCTGATTTAATGAGATGCGAAAGTGTGTCTTCTGAAAGAAGATTTTGGTTTTAGATTTTATTTCATTTTTCTCAGACAAAGATTCTTTTCATCGCGCAGCGACTTTCGATGCAACTGCGTCTCGTCGTTTGTGATAATCGCGACGTCATGATTCTTCTCGCCGCGCGACCGCATTCGCATACTCTTCAGCTCGTAAAACACATCACGCATGATAGTCCGCACCGGTATCGGTCATCATGCGGCTTTATGGTTTTCCCTGCAACCGGTAACGCCGAAGTCTCTCTGCGCTTCGCCGGCGTAAACGAACGGGAGAACAGCATTGGGAACGACGGCGGAGAGAACGAGACGGAAGGAAAGGAGCGAGAAAAGCGCGCAGTATTACGCTCGGGGCGTCTCTCGGCGAGAAACACGCCGATCTATCTTTCGGCATCTTCGACGCAGGCCAGCCAGCGTCGTTTCCGCATCGGCGACTCTTTCCCGTCGGCCTGGGAAAAAGTCTGGCGGAAAATTTCCGCGATTTCATCGACGCCGTCTCGCGCCGCGCCATGTCAGCGTTACCGCCTTTCATCGGATATCAACGGGTGTGAAGTTTAACTCACGCAGCTGATCGGCCGTCCCCGTGGGCTTCCCGGGTCGCGATATATCTAAATATACGAGGATAATTAAAGGGGGTTCTCTGGAAAAAGGGGGTTTTCCGCATTGCGTGATCGCGCTGCCGCTTTCAAATTTCACGAGAATTAATATGAATTCTTGATGAAAAAAGAAAAAAATAATAATAACGAGATGTATCTTAGTTGACCAACGATTTCCTGTGTCGATACCGTAAAGTAAACGCGTTCGCGATATCGAAAACCCGCGTAAATGGCCTGTATCGCTCGCGTTCCCAGGATCGGTATCCGCGCCGGAGCGATACTTTTAATTTATCGCGGCTGAGTTATCATCTCGCGTGGCCACAATACGCATTGTTACGTGTCGATATCTTTCGTTGCCGGAAGAAAAGCAGGCAAATGGGCAAAGCAGGCAGGCACGGCTTCGGGAGCGCTCTCGCCGCGTACACGCGAGCTAATCTCGAGAGGGGCGCCGTGGAATCCGCGACGAAAGCCGACGGTGTCATAATGATCCTCTGAGCGGAACACGATCGCCATAAATCAGCGTGCGGTGCGCACGGCGCGGGATTCATTAGCATTTTTCCGCGGTCGCAGTGGGAAAGCGCGGAACGACGTTGACATAGCGCCTTAGCCGGGCTATCGGTGGCAGATTACTCGCGGATAAGCACGGCAGATGTAGATTTATTACGCTCCCGAACAAAAAGACCAAACGTCTCGTCTGGGAATCTCGCGTAAAATTGACCCCGGAATTTCCACACACGCGTGAACGCAACTTTACACTTGCCAGATTATCGCGCTGTGTAATATCTTGACGAGATACGAACGGCGGCACTCTTTCATCTCATCGCGTAATCGCGCGGAAAATCATTAAATCGATAGACAAATCGCGCGTGATAGATGTTATTGGATGGACAGATGTTATTACAAAAATAAGCATTTTAAGATTAGACGTAGATCTACGCTACGATTTATAACTGTCGGATATTAGGATATTTATGTATAAATTCACGACATTGCGGCGTTTCTTGTCAATAACATTAGTTTGTAACAAAAAATTGTTTTGACAAAGTTTTGCTAAGATAGTATAGAATTTTAATACAAAATTCTGTACTATCTTAGCAAAACTTTGTCAAAATAATTTTTTTGCTATAAACTAGTGTTATCGTAGCGTAGATCTATATCTAATCTTAAAATTCTTTATAACATGGCTGAAAAATAAAAGATATTAAAATTAAAAAGGAATGCATTTTACAAGGAATAAACGGTATATGATTTCTGATCAAAATTTCAAGGTATCATTAGTCTTCTTTAAAAAAAAAATCTTCAAATATCGCAGAAAAACATTTTTTTATATTAAATCTCATTATTATAGAAACCTAAACAAATTTGGTTTGTGGAATCATTTTTAGCATCCAAAAATCTATAAGAAACATTTTGTCTGGCTCAAGATAATTAAAAAAAATATTTTTTTATAAACTAATATAATTAGAGAAGTAATTTTAAATGTATAAAGATATTCATCTCTAATTACTAATTACCGTTAGTTCATTATCTCAAAGTCAACGAGTTTTATGTGCATTTCTTAGATTCGATAAAACCTATATGTGAATCAAATTAAAAATTGGCTTTGATCACGCTTAGTTTCGCGCGAACTGAAGGTGAAATGGGGAAAGCGCGATGTACCCTGTTATCGCGCATTAAGTGCATTCATCGTGTATGTCCGCGGGTATCGAGCAGAGTTTATTGGCTAATTGAAATTCGCTGACAGAAATACAGTGGGCGGCTTGTCGGCTAATCGAACGCGAGTTTCCGTTTTGATTGTATTATACTTCCTGGATATGTATTCATATTTGCATGTATTTGCATAGCTGTTATTATGAATAAATCTCACTTGTGCTTTATATAAAACGTACTATTTGATTCCGTTGACTTTTGATAGACGGAAATATTTTATTTATAAAAGTCTGCGATAATAGATTTTTATTTGAAAATAAAATTTAACAAAACAAAATGAAAAAATTTTTTAACGCTTCAAATATACAGACTTGTATTATGCGAAACAATCGATAGAATTGTCAGTGTCATATATTTCTATGTGCTAACTGAATTTTAAGTTATTACCGAACAAAAGGAGACAATTATGTTTAATGTGGTGGGAGCAATAAGTTGATGAGCAAACGATAAAATCTGCGATCTTAAGGATCTACGCATGTAACGGGTCCGTACAGCTTTCTTAATTTGAGATTGTCATAGTGTGAAGTAACAAGTCATGTTTCACCGCGGTGGCTTTTGCAGTGGCCGCCTTGAAAGCTTATATCTCACACGAGAGAAATATATTAAGCGTCAAGCGAGACTCCCGCGGTTTGCGTTACGCGTAATAACTTGATTGGTCGCGGTGAAAGGTCGAATCACCAAAAGTAATTCGCGAATGCATCGCCGGGCGAAATTGACCTCGACTCGTCTTTCACCGTTAACTCGCATCGCCGGTTTGTCCAGCGATGAATCGGAGCTTTGATCGTTATATTAAGGAGGAGGGTGCGAAATTGACTGACGGATACCCGCGCGAAAATGCATGTGGTATAAAGTGCATTCATGACGAAGCGTCTTATTAACGAAATCTTATTCACTCGTAAACTTGTAATACCAATTATATGTGCACGGTAAGAAAAAAAAAAAGAAAGCGTCCAGACAATTTTTTTTCCTTTCTTTTCCGGGGACCAGGGACTTGGTGGTATGCTCATGGCTCACGTGGTTTTACAAACGAACGTCTCGTACGATCATCTTCGCGGGGATGAGTTAGGTAGCGCGGTGCTTGCGGCAACCAGATACACCGCGACTAATAATTAATAGACGATCGCGCGAGTAAACGGTAAGCCGAGGAACATCCCGGTGGCTGGCAACCCGTCGCGTACGTATCATGTATCACGTAGGACGGAGAGTCACGAGCGGCAGATCGCAGGACGATAGGATCGCGGGGGATCTTTCGTTGATCCAGTTGTGCACCTGACCGCATTTCCGCATGAGTTATGGACGCGCATCAATCCTTTTATCCCCCCTTACCTCCGTCCCTTCCTTTCGAGAAACCGGCATGATCGTTGGCTCTTCTTGCCCTCCCACCGGTACGAGCCACCCTCGTTTCTGGCGATGGTTAACGGTAACGACTTCGGCGAAACGTCCCTCATTGCTATCCTGCTCGCTTTTCCCTGCGGGACAAAGATCTGTAGCTGCAGTTTACCGACCCACTTTTAAGATCGTATCTGCTATCCAAAATCTCCTTTTTTTCTGCCGCCACCCATTTTTTGTTCTTCCCTAATTATCCTCCTATTTATCCTATCTGTCATCTTTTTCCTTGAACACCAGTAGTGGTCAAATGTTTTTCATTCCTTTGAATTTATACTTCTTTTTTAACATCGTTTATGTTTTTTGATATTTTGTTTCTAGAGTTTGTG